CAAGCAAACGATTAACGTACCCTATTCTAGTTGAAATTCTATTACTACACTATGTTTGTTTTGATTCGCTATTAAAGTTTGACAGATAACATCAGGGGTGTGTGGATTCATGCAGAACATGCAGGGGTGAGTGAAATAGCTTGGGACTGCTTGGGACCGTTGTTCTGGTACTGAGTGAGCCAAAAATAATAATGATTTTCTTCGGGACCCAGTGGTCTTAGAGTTACCTCTATGCTACTACTGGATTGAACTAGCATTTTCATCAAATGTACTAGAATGTTTTGGTTCTATCTCTTTCACTCTACTCAAAACTGGAATGCATAAAAAAATGACAAAATGATACGCACTCCAAAGATGAATACTAAGATGAAACTGTCGGAAGAAAAACTTTCTATTTTAGTGTCCTCTTTCACGGTCCCTTTCATCCATTGAATACCCCTCGTATTCAAGGTAATTTTATGGTTTTGCTGCCCCCTCGGTAGAGATGAAATTTTGCGCTCATTTATATCAAAACAAACACACCAAAATCAGAGGTGTTCCATTTTTTAATTACTCGATTAACAACTAATCGATTTTTTTTGTTCGCTGTGCTGCCATTTTTCCACCAATGAGAGTGCAGCACATGTTTGAAACGATCGGTGATGATCCTCTGGAGAAGTTAATGCTTATATCGGCATGATATAACCATAGAGGTAACTCTAAGACAAGTAGGTCCCGAAGAAACGTGCTCAACTTTTTGGCTCACCTCTGGTACTATCTTCGGTCCCAAGCTTGTCGAATCACCCCTCGAAACATAGGAAAAACCAATAACCCCTCATTTTATCTGTCAAACTTTCATAGCGAATCAAAACAAACATTGCGTAGTACTAGAATTTCGACTAGAATAGGGTACGTTAATCGTTTGCTTGGGACCAATAGGCTACTAAAGTGGTGAGCCAATTTAAAATCGTTAGTTTCGTATTGATTGTTGATATAACCGATTGCAAATATTTTACTTTTCGGTTCGTTAATCGATTAATCGATAATTCGAATAAAAATCGGCCATCACTAGATGAATGTGAAACGTCATTTCAAATATATGAACCGTACATAAATAATGATACAATTTGAAAGGGACCGGGGCTCATCACAAATTACGTCCACACGGTAACTGAAATAAACACGAGTGTTCACCGCACAAACGAAGTTACAGACGACTTTCTCCGAAGAAATTAATTAAAATAATGTGGTTCTCTGTAATAGAATTTTAGACCACTTTCCGCCGGTCACCGCCAGGTTCGCTAGTATTTTTGATTTGAATTAATTCAAGTTGGTTTTGTGTGCAATGATCTGGCAACTCGCGTTGACGGTGTGCTGTTTTCTCACTCATCGAAGGAAACTTTGATTAGAGTGAGAAAGTAAGGAACATTCAGCGCGGGAACCGTGTGCGGTACTATAGGTGCGGCAGAAAGAATGTAGTCGACTCCTTTGTTCTCACGGTGTTCTCAAAGATGAATACTAAGATGAAACTGTCGGAAGAAAAACTTTCTATTTTAGTGTCCTCTTTCACGGTCCCTTTCATCCATTGAATACCCCTCGTATTCAAGGTAATTTTATGGTTTTGCTGCCCCCTCGGTAGAGATGAAATTTTGCGCTCATTTATATCAAAACAAACACACCAAAATCAGAGGTGTTCCATTTTTTAATTACTCGATTAACAACTAATCGATTTTTTTTGTTCGCTGTGCTGCCATTTTTCCACCAATGAGAGTGCAGCACATGTTTGAAACGATCGGTGATGATCCTCTGGAGAAGTTAATGCTTATATCGGCATGATATAACCGATTGCAAATATTTTACTTTTCGGTTCGTTAATCGATTAATCGATAATTCGAATAAAAATCGGCCATCACTAGATGAATGTGAAACGTCATTTCAAATATATGAACCGTACATAAATAATGATACAATTTGAAAGGGACCGGGGCTCATCACAAATTACGTCCACACGGTAACTGAAATAAACACGAGTGTTCACCGCACAAACGAAGTTACAGACGACTTTCTCCGAAGAAATTAATTAAAATAATGTGGTTCTCTGTAATAGAATTTTAGACCACTTTCCGCCGGTCACCGCCAGGTTCGCTAGTATTTTTGATTTGAATTAATTCAAGTTGGTTTTGTGTGCAATGATCTGGCAACTCGCGTTGACGGTGTGCTGTTTTCTCACTCATCGAAGGAAATTTTGATTAGAGTGAGAAAGTAAGGAACATTCAGCGCGGGAACCGTGTGCGGTACTATAGGTGCGGCAGAAAGAATGTAGTCGACTCCTTTGTTCTCACGGTGTTCTTACGCATGGTCCAACGTTACGTCACACTAGATTATGCATAAGAACATCGTGATAATGAAAGAGCAAAGTTTGTATGTTTGGGAGCCTCTCGCATTCAACCCCCATTCCCCCACCATCCGATTGAAACGGGCCAGATGAAGTGGGTTTGTGTAATTGAATTAGTGATTTCAAGCTGAACATTGCATTATGTCCTAAGTAACATTGACAGATTCTCTTCGTTGAATTTTTCTTTGCATCACCACGGCCATGTAAAGACATTCCCCGGTATTTTTAGCACACAGATCGATAAAAGAAGCTTTTGTCTAGCATCTAATATGACAAACACATCAATAAACGGTTATGTGATAAAGTTATTTACGAAAGAGAAAGTCGACGAAGATAATCGATCAATGTTACTTAGGACCTAATGCAATGTTCAGCTTGATTTATTAGCAAAATAACCGGCAGCAGCAACATCAGAGTGGCAATGGCGAACATGTGTATCAGTGGTCGGTCCGACTGTGGTTTCTCCCCGTCGTCGTGGTCCGTCCCGTTCTCCTGGTAGAGAACGAGCTGTGGGATAGAAACTAATGGGCTAGCTTTAGACTCTATCGACCGATCGGTATCGACACGGAAACGGTAGCTTCGAGGCCGGGTCAAAAATCGAAGTAAATTTGACAACGTCTTTCACCTGCGGAGTTATTGTTCGAGCGATACACAACGTGCTGCTTCCGACTGGCACTTTAATTTTATTGACTGTTAATTAGAACATCGTCGTCGGTTCTTTCCTTAATCTTCGATAACGATGTTTGGTATCAATTACTTCGGCAACACAGGTCATTATAGGGGCACGTCTTGTCATGTCGGTTGCGGTTGCCGCAGTGTAGGTGGAACGGAACATTAACCTCATTTGTAGGAGTGGTCCTTTGGCCCTATCGATGACGATGCTCGGCTTGGGTGCGTATGTGGCTTGGGTGGAACATTAGCATTGGCTTATCGACATGGATCGGGAGGTGTTCGTAGCTTGCTACTCGTAGATTACGACACTCCGATACGTTGATGGTCATCAAGCCAAAATAAATACACCGATAACTTTCAACTGCAGCATAAAAACAACAAAACGGAGGAAGCTCCCTTTCACAATTAATAATTAATAATTATTATCATCAACCGCTCTGCAGGAACTCCTTCGGGGATCAAAGGACGAAAACCGCAAAAAATGGGATAGAAATTTTGATCCTGCTCCAAGAACTATTTACTCGAGGAAAAGCCGACAAAACAGGAAGTTCGCTGTTGGGAAACATAAATTGTAGCACCACTTGCGAACCTCTTCATTTTTGGAAGTAAATTTCAAGCACAGTCTGACGTTTGCTTATGGATTTTACCATAGGAGTAAAGAGCTATATAGATTCGCCGTCAAAGCCAATAGCATCAATTATATACATGATTCTTTGACAGTGTGCAAAGAGTGCGTATCATTTTGTCATTTTTTTATGCATTTCAGTTTTGAGTAGAGTGAAAGAGATAGAACCAAAACATTCTAATACATTTGGTGAAAATGCTAGTACAATCCAGTAGTAGTGTTGCCATGTGGTACAATCCAGTAGTAGTGGTGTTGCCATGTGGTACACTGAAAAATTGAAATAGCAGGTTAGTCACCAAAGTTTTCGAGCCGCTCCGTCTGTCACTTCGTTTGTGGTTCACCGGTTGCGCACTCTTTGCACACTGTCAAAGAATCATTGTACACAAAATCAACTTTGTGCAAAACCAAAACAAAAATACTATCCCATCTGGTGGATGATGGCACAAGCTTCTAAGAAAATTCTATTACAGCGAACCACATTATTTTAATTGATTTCTTCGCCAGTTAGTCGTCTGTCACTTCGTTTGTGGTAAAACGGTCTACACTGATTAACGACAAATAAATTTACTTGGAACCAATCCAGCTTTCCATGCTCGGTAATGGCGACCTGTTTGTATGAATAAATGTATCCTTCACTGTCATTTTTGACACTAACTGGAGGGCGTATATTGTTCCATTTTCTTCTGTTCCTGGAAGCGGGAAAGGGAGGGGTCAAGGCCGGCGCACAATAGATACGTTTTCGGGTTTTTTGACAGATAATGCATGGGCTAACTGTCAAAAAACCTGAAAACGTATCTATTGTGCGCCGGCCTTCAAAATCCGAACATCCAGATAGTGTCAAAAAGCACAGTGAAGGATACATTTATTCATACAAACAGGCCGCCATATAGCTTCTAGCAAGGGTTGCAAGATAAGTTAGGAACAAATCCCTGCTACCGAATTGTATTTTGTTTTCTCCGCCTATCTCTCCCTCTGAGTATTCCTAGTTGCCACCGGTTGGTATAATTTTGAAGTAAATTTTAATCCAATCAATGTGAGAATCAATGTATTGATTATACAACAGACAGACATACAAATTAGTACCGTTGTACTTCTTTAATCCAGTACCTCAAAACGTACAATTTGTGGTACTAGCTTAAAGCAGTACAATCATAGAGGTACAATGGTAGTACAACAGTGAACTTTGTATGTCTGTACAAGATATTAATCACAAAATGATTAAATTTTAATCTTTCGTTGTTTAGTAATGTTTCTGAGTGTGCATCAAGTTTCTTATTTTTTTTAATAAAAATTGAAATGTTAAAATGTTTTTTTTTTGTTCATTCACAGATTCTGTTTTGGACCATTAGGACAAGCATCGAAAATCAATGTTCTGGTTTTACATTGTATGTTTTACCCTAGTGTTTTTGATATTTTTATATTTAGACAGCATAAAACCTCCAAATTTTCCACCCGGTCCAAAATGGTACCCCATCATAGGAAGCGCATTACAGATAGCACGTGCTCGACAGAACACTGGCATGTTGTGCAAAGCCATTAACCTGATAGCTTCCAATTATAAACATAACGGTGTGATCGGTTTTAAAGTTGGCAAAGACATGACAGTAATGGCCATATCTGGGGAATCGTTGCGTGAAATGATGAGCAATGAAGATCTTGATGGTAGACCAACAGGAATATTTTATGAAACAAGAACGTGGGGATTACGAAGAGGTGTTTTACTGACGGATGAAGAATTTTGGCAGGAACAGCGGCGCTTCATAGTGCGGCATTTAAAAGAATTTGGATTTGCGAGAAAAGGTATGTCAGAAATAATTGAAAATGAAGCTGAACATGTGTACACTGATTTTCGTGCAATGGTAGAAGCAGGAAATGGTAGTGCTCTTGTGCAGATGCAAGGTGTATTTTCTGTCTATATTCTGAATACACTTTGGCTGATGATGGCTGGAATCAGATATACCAGAGAAAATAAGGATCTTAAATATCTTCAATCGTTATTGCACGAACTATTCGCAAATATTGATATGATGGGTGCGCTTTTTAGCCACTTTCCATTCATACGATTTTTCGCACCCAAATTCTCTGGATACAAACAATTTGTAGAAATTCATGACCTAATGCATAAATTCATTGGAGCTGAAGTAGAGAACCATAAAAAAAAGTTCAACTATACCGACGAACCCCGTGACCTGATGGAAGTATATCTGAAGATTTTGCAGTCAAATAAAGGTATTCCTGACAGTTTTTCTCAAGAGCAACTATTGGCCGTCTGTCTAGACATGTTCATCGCTGGTTCGGAAACTACTACAAAAACACTTGGTTTCGCTTTTTTGCATCTAGTAAGACAACGCGAAACACAACAAAAATTACAAACGGAAATAGATGAAGTCATTGGTCGAGAACGACTCCCTACACTCGAAGACAGAGTAAAGTTAGTAATTACAAGTAGATTAATAAGTTTTCTATACCTCTAACTAGCAATTATAATCTAATTTCAGTTTGCCATACTGTGAAGCTGTGGTATTGGAAGCTTTACGGATGTTCATGGCAAATACCTTTGGTATTCCCCATCGAGCTCTACGAGACACTAAATTATGTGGATATAACATTCCAAAAGTAACATTTTAATAAACATAAACATAATACTTTACCATTTGCAATGTAATAGTGTGGCCATGGTTTACATGATTTCTCTATTTTTAGGATACAATGCTGGTGGGAATGTTCCGCGGTATGATGTTAAATGATTGGAAAGAGCCCCATATTTTCAAACCAGAACGATTTTTGAAAGATGGAAAAATTGTTGTTCCTCCTGATTTCCATCCGTTTGGTGTTGGCAGGCATCGGTGCATGGGCGAAATGATGGGAAGATCCAATCTTTTCCTTTTCATCACCACTCTTTTTCAATCATTTAATTTCTTAGTTCCGGAAGGTGAGGCGATTCCATCGGATGAACCTATTGATGGAGCCACGCCGAGTGTACGGCAATACACAGCTTTGATTGTTCCTCGATGACATCAGCAGAAGACTATAATATATAATAGTAGTGTAATAGAAATGCGCTTAAAAGACTTGAGCTCAGTCCATCCACATTATTCATCCGATTAACTTCCCTCACGGTGTTTCGTAAAAACCCACTGTGGTTAAATGCGCGATCAGTTTCAAGCGCGAGCAAACCGAAATGTTTTGTTGTTTTTGACATCATCCACATTCAGAGGGCCATTCACTTTCGAATGTATGGAAATGGTAGGAAACCATTTGGAAATGCATGAAAATTTTCAGTTTTTATTCATTATCGTCTTTATGAGCAGATTTAGATGCACAAAAATTGCACGAGTACATTACTATGGTGATAAGGTAAACACTCGTTTATTTCTTTCCTTCTGTGAAAGCATGCTTAATCACAAATCGTGGATTTTCTGATATTCTCCATACTGCAAAAAATATTTTCCTACCACTGAAGGGGCGACATCTCTCGGATCTTTAGTATAGCTACTACTCAAATCATATAATTAATTAGGGCACATTATTTTGAGATTTTTTCTTCTAGAACCTCGAGAAAAGTAGCCAACATTTGAGCGTTTAATTGGCGGCTTGCAGTGAAACTTTTCCAAGCTTTCGCCACCTACATTTCGAAGTGAGAACTACTAGAAGGAGGATAGATTCCAAATTTTCCAAGTAAAACAGACGCTTTTTGGGGCAAATTGGTCCATTAAGAAAAACTAATAATTTCCCGTGGAAACTTTTGCTTGAATCGTGTAAGAAAACGTGTTTGAAAACTATTTGTTATTATTTCGGTATGGATCGGAGTTGTTTTCATGGCAAATTATGCATAACAAGTTTGCACCCACAGGGAGAGGTTACCTCCTGCGCAGCTGCATTTTTCAGAAAATAGTTAATATGTGCGATTTTCACTAAGATGAAAGTGGAAATTAAGTGAATTTACTTAGGAAAGGTTGTATCATGCTGGTGGTAATTGAGAATTGGTTGTATGGGACGCCAAAATTCAATAAATGCTCATTTTGGCCTTTTTTAAGCAAACATATTGATACTCACAATTTTTGACGAAAAATGCACCGGAGCTTGATTTACTCAACACGCACCATACTATAAAATAGTGCTAGATGGTCTTCAAAGTGATAACAAGATGACAAATCATCTTTATTTTGAGTAATTGAGCAATTTACTTCTGTTTACCATCATATTTACGATGCAGCATTCATGGAGCCGTGAAATGAAATGAATATATCTTATGAAAGTTCACCTGGAAAAGTCAAAGCTGCACATCAGTCTGATCGTAAAAACGTTTTCTTCTTCAATTCGAATGTTATATTGGAAGGATTTCACGCAGGCTTGATGAAAATTATGATTTAATGCTAACTTTCACGAATTTTATATGCAGTCTGTCAACATTATCATCATCATGCAGTGGCGACATCTGCGTTGAGCTTTTGCGGTAATCTTCCAATAAAAAAATAGAAATTATTTGGTCCAGTTTTGTGAAATCGCTGGTAGAAAGTCACGCCAAAACTGCTTGACAAGTGGTCAATTATTTGCCTCGATAATGTTTGAGTAAACCCAGCACGGAAGGTTAGTCTAACGTTAGTCTAACACGTTAGACTATTAGACTAACATTTGGTCTAACGTTAGTCTAATCACAAACGAAGTTACAGACGACTTTCTCCGAAGAAATTAATTAAAATAATGTGGTTCTCTGTAATAGAATTTTAGACCACTTTCCGCCGGTCACCGCCAGGTTCGCTAGTATTTTTGATTTGAATTAATTCAAGTTGGTTTTGTGTGCAATGATCTGGCAACTCGCGTTGACGGTGTGCTGTTTTCTCACTCATCGAAGGAAATTTTGATTAGAGTGAGAAAGTAAGGAACATTCAGCGCGGGAACCGTGTCCGGTACTATAGGTGCGGCAGAAAGAATGTAGTCGACTCCTTTGTTCTCACGGTGTTCTCACGCATGGTCCAACGTTACGTCACACTAGATTATGCATAAGAACATCGTGATAATGAAAGAGCAAATTTTGTATGTTTGGGAGCCTCTCGCATTCAACCCCCATTCCCCCACCATCCGATTGAAACGGGCCAGATGAAGTGGGTTTGTGTAATTGAATTAGTGATTTCAAGCTGAACATTGCATTATGTCCTAAGTAACATTGACAGATTCTCTTCGTTGAATTTTTCTTTGCATCACCACGGCCATGTAAAGACATTCCCCGGCACACAGATCGATAAAAGAAGCTTTTGTCTAGCATCTAATACGACAAACACATCAATAATGTGATAAAGTTATTTACGAAAGAGAAAGTCGACGAAGATAATCGATCAATGTTACTTAGGACCTAATGCAATGTTCAGCTTGATTTATTACCAAATTAATAGGCAGCAGCAACATCAGAGTGGCAATGGCGAACATGTGTATCAGTGGTCGGTCCGAATGTGGTTTCTCCCCGTCGTCGTGGTCCGTCCCGTTCTCCTGGTAGAGAACGAGCTGTGGGATAGAAACTAATGGGCTAGCTTTAGACTCTAACGACCGATCGGTATCGATACGGAAACGGTAGCTTCGAGGCCGGGTCAAAAATCGAAGTAAATTTGACAACGTCTTTCACCTGCGGAGTTATTGTTCGAGCGATACACAACGTGCTGCTTCCGACTGGCACTTTAATTTTATTGACTGTTAATTAGAACATCGTCGTCGGTTCTTTCCTTAATCTTCGATAACGATGTTTGGTATCAATTACTTCGGCAACACAGGTCATTATAGGGGCACGTCTTGTCATGTCGGTTGCGGTTGCCGCAGTGTAGGTGGAACGGAACATTAACCTCATTTGTAGGAGTGGTCCTTTGGCCCTATCGATGACGATGCTCGGCTTGGGTGCGTATGTGGCTTGGGTGGAACATTAGCATTGGCTTATCGACATGGATCAGGAGGTGTTCGTAGCTTGCTACTCGTAGATTACGACACTCCGATACGTTGATGGTCATCAAGCCAAAATAAATACACCGATAACTTTCAACTGCAGCATAAAAACAACAAAACGGAGGAAGCTCCCTTTCACAATTAATAATTAATAATTATTATCATCAACCGCTCTGCAGGAACTCCTTCGGGAATCAAAGGACGAAAACCGCAAAAAATGGGATAGAAATTTTGATCCTGCGCCAAGAACTATTTACTCGAGGAAAAGCCGACAAAACAGGAAGTTCGCTGTTGGGAAACATAAATTGTAGCACCACTTGCGAACCTCTTCGTTTTTGGAAGTAAATTTCACGCACAGTCTGACGTTTGCTTATGGATTTTACCATAGGAGTAAAGAGCTATATAGATTCGCCGTCAAAGCCAATAGCATCAATTATATACATGATTCTTTGACAGTGTGCAAAGAGTGCGTATCATTTTCTCATTTTTTTATGCATTTCAGTTTTGAGTAGAGTGAAAGAGATAGAACCAAAACATTCTAATACATTTGGTGAAAATGCTAGTACAATCCAGTAGTAGTGTTGCCATGTGGTACAATCCAGTAGTAGTGGTGTTGCCATGTGGTACACTGAAAAATTGAAATAGTTGGTTAGTCACCAAAGTTTTCGAGCCGCTCCGTCTGTCACTTCGTTTGTGGTCTAATGTTCGTCTAATATTAGACTGATATGACACATTTTGTTAGACGTTACAGCTCGTTTCGAGCTCGTATAGACGAGTGCACGGATGGATTTGAGTTCACTCACTCGACAAAAAGTGACACAACAGCGGGGCCCTGTTTACTAAAAATGAACACATCAATAATACTCGCGTAACATTTGAAATGGGCCTATCAACTTTTGTACACAAAACTTGTTAAGGCCTTTTCACGCGAACCGAATACGCCCACACAAACTAACAACACTACCCAGCACGGAAGGTTAGTCTAACATGAGTCTAACGTTAGTCTAACACGTTAGACCATTAGACTAACATTTGGTCTAACGTTAGTCTAATGTTCGTCTAATATTAGACTGATATGACACATTCTGTTAGACGTTACAGCTCTTTTCGATCTAACATGTTAGTCTAACGTGAGACTAACGTTAGAAATTTTTTGTATGGCTGGATAGACGTCGTTAGACCATCTATGTGGTGGAATTTATGCTCGTTTGTTTACACTCTGCCTTCCGAGCACGAAGTTTGACACTTGACGCTCGGGTTCTAGCAGAGTAAGCGAACAAGCATAAAAATTGTATGCTTGTTCGCTTACACTCTGCTAGAGCATCAAGTGTCAAACTTCGCGCTCCGATCGCAGAGTGTGAACAAACGAGCATTTCTAGACCAACAATTGAAATAGGCGGAACAACCAAACTTAAACAATGGCTTTAAACGCAAATTTCCGGAGAATCAAAACACATTCACATAATCTAATTCCAGCATCTGAAAGAGAAAACTTCCTTCATCGAATGCAATTGTTAGTTTGTGTGCGTGTGTTTTGATTCTCGAGAAATTTGTGTTTAAAGCCATTGCATTGTTTACGTTTGGTTGTTCTGCCTATTTAAATTGTTGGTCTAGATTAAAAGAATAGTGAAAATTTCAAGCTTTCACTTTGCGACTGTGTTTTTTAGACTTTGGACCGATAATCAAGATCGAGCGCCCGGAGAACTGGCACGGCTGTATTTTTTTCCTATGAGGACTACCGTGAAAATCGCGGAGTGGACCGGAGGATTGTATGGCACAGTAACCGGAGTTGGGAAAGGTAAGTATTAAGAGGAAGAGGCTGTTTTCATTGAGTTGGCCTCCTAGGGCAGTCACTATCCAGGGTGGAATGCGCTGACAGGTAAAACTAATAACCGGTACTGGTGCATCGTGGTGGCGATACTGCTGGTAAGCGTATCTAATTTGTGGATCCTGGAGTGGGAATCTGTCGGTTATGCGGTACTCGATGCGGTATTAATATTATTGAAGATATTGTAACCGGCGTGTTTGTTTTGCTGGGTAACAGACGACGGTGAAGACATTTACAATATTATCGGTACAATCGA